CTGAGAAATTGGAGACAAAATCCTTTTGTTTTTAGATAGTAACCAACGCAACACAGTCTTTGTCAGCATCATGAAGATGCTGAGACAAGAGTGTCAGTTCTGACTTATCAAAATAATGTGCAAGGGAAAAGTTTTGGAGGTACTGTGGGTATAAATGCCCTAAAACTATGGATAATCAACCAAAGCAGGCGAGTTATGTCTTCCAAAATATGTTTTGCACTTGGTTTCCAACCCCTTGGCCCTGAATTTTGATTCTTGCCTGTCATTGTTCACACAACAATGTTGAAATTCGATACCAGATGTCAGAAAGATTTATAAAATAAAAGGGTAACTTTAAAAAAATCACTGTTTTTTCTGATTTGTCCAAACAATTAAATTACCATATTTTGATGGGGAAAAAAAGAGAGAAAAGGAGATGATTGAAATATGTTCACATTTCCCCTCTCTTTTCACTTGTCTTGAAATATGATTCTAGTGGGATACAAGGAGTTGGAAACTGTGTTTCTGAAATTTTGGTTGTGTGTATGTACATATAAATAGATAAATGATCATAAGATGATAGATAGATAGATAGATAGATAGATAGATAGATAGATAGATAGTCTTCTACATAAATCTCAGAAATGTGTTAAATACCTGATAAGTCAAAACCCAGAAGGAATGTATCTGTTTTAAGCAGTTTTAGTAGTATGTATATACTTTTAATGATCTAATAGTATTTTTGTATCCTATAAAGTTACCACTGTTTTTCTGGGGACCGCTCAAGATCTCTCTTTTTTCTTTTTTTTTTTCTTTTTTTTTCTTTTTTTTTTTTTTTTTTTTTGATATATATATATCTTTCACATTAACTTACAAATCATCCAATAATTCTGCATAATTTTAAGTCATACCTTGAACTTAGGGAGAGTTATATGGGTATTTAACTCAATACGCTATTTATATAAAAGTAATAGGCTCATGGCCTTCATTACCAAACATCTGTCTCATGCAGTCAAGATTATGTGTAGACTGTTAGGCACAAATAGGAAACTCATCTCAGGTCTGCTGCAGAACCAAACCAACTTTATGAATGCCATCATATTTTTTTAAGTGAAAAGAACAAAGAGGAGAAAACTTCCTTTTTAAGATTATCCACTTAGATTGAACTCTTTGACACACAGCAGAGACAGAGGGAGGAGGTTGTTTAAAAGAGGGAATATTTTCTGGATCTAGAAGACAAAACCACAGGTCAGAAAACCTTTGATGTCAGCACTGATTCTCAGTGATTTACGCACACGTGTCCTACACGGTGACCACTCAAAGGGATGGGTCTTTTTCTGTTTATGAAATTTATCCTGACACAGTTTGATGTCTACAAGTAAAAGTAACCAGGTGTGATTTTTTTCTTTTTTTTTTCTTTCAGTTATACATATGATAAGCTTAAAAAAACTTTGAGTGAATCACAAACTTCCTTTACTAGGTCTGAGTCTTTCTTATTTTTGTTTCTTTAAACTCTGTCATGTTTTCAAAGTGAGTATTAAATAAACCATTATCACTATTGCTTTCTAAATTGAACTCATTTTGAAATTATTTTTTGTGTGGCTGCTTAAATACATTTGTTTATCTATATGTATCCTTTCCAGAAGAAAATAAATACAAGATAAAAACAGAAAAGGCCCCCAAAACAGTTTTTATCCTAAATTTATTGAGTATAATCAAAATAATATTTTCTAGCAAAGGAGAAGCAAATGAGAATTTTTTTCTTTTCTTTCCCTCTGTTTGTTTTTTTTCTCTTTTTTTTTTTATTTTTTTTAATGAGTATTTGATTCCATAATTTGATTTTCTGTGTTAATTTAATCAAGCCAATTATTTCATAACCATGTGTCAGCTTATTCCAGGGAGGAAGATGATGGTCAGTGGAGCTCTTTGACACAGAGTTCACCTGCCAAAAGTTTTCATTTCAAAATCAGAATTCCTCACAGGAAATGTCACCACCGGTTCTGCCAAGAAATGTTGAAACTGTTTCCTTTTTCTTTTGTTTAGATACAAAATGACAAAATGTAGCTCCAGTTGGGTGATTTAATTCAGACACGCAAGCCTCCCTCCCATGTCAAGGAGCTGATTGGAAATGACAATCCCTGTTTGGTTTCAATCAGAAACGTCAACATTTTCAGCGTGACATTTCCGACTCCAAAGTTTGTGAGTTGCGTGTTTGTTTGGGATGGAGATGGGGCTGGTCTCCTGGTCGCCGTTTGGGAGGCTTCTCGTGTATTTCCTTGATTTATTTGTTTTCTCCTATCGGAGAGAAGCAGAGGGAAAATCCATGAGGGAAGGGCAGGCACAGCCTGTGCCCTCCAGCTCAGGTGTTTGGGGTTTGCAGGTGTCCTGGCAGATGTCAGTCATGTGGGGACAGCCACAGGGAAGAGATGCTTTGGTGTGGTTTCTTTTTACCCAGGAATTTTTCCCGGGAACACAGTGGGGCTGAGGGCACACACTGGCCCAGGGGACTGAGTCTGCTGAGGGTTGGGGAGGGCTCTGCTGGCATCTCGTGGCCCCACAAATCTTTTCTACCCATTTGGTGTTAGACTGGGATCTGTTTTGTAGATTTGCTGCTTCTCCCAAGGGACAAGGTGAGAGAGATGCAGTTTTCCAGTTTGGAGAAGAGAAGGGCTTTCTAAGAGAGACCTGAGAGCCCCTTCCAGGGCCTAAAGGTGCTCCAAGAGAGCTGGAGAAGAATTTTACAAGGGCCTGTAGAGACAGACAGGACAATGGGAAATGTCTTCAGACTGAAAGAGTGCAGGTTTAGAATGAGTATTAGGAAGAAATTCCTGGCTGTGAGGGTGTTGAGGCCCTGGCACAGCGTGCCCAGAGAAGCTGTGGCTGCCCCTGGATCCCTGGAAGTGTCCAAGTCCAGGTGGGATGGGAGTTTGGAGAAACCTGAGATAGTGGAAGGTGTCCCTGCCCATGGCAGGGGGTGGGACAACATCTGTCAGGTCTCTTCTAAGGCACACAACTCGATGATTCTATGATGTAAGGGATAATGGCACATGAATAAGCCTCCATGGCAGGTGAGGGTCAAGCCTTGCATCAGCTGCACACCAAATTCAGGTCACTGAGGATGATGATGGCCCGAAGCTACCAATTGTCCCAGAGCAAAGGGGAGAGACTTGGCGTACTTTGAGCCTGCTGCAGCACTCTGGGACAGGGAATCCTGTGGTACCATCTTTGCAAGGGATCAGACATTCAGAGGAATACAGCAGGGTACTCCCTACATTCGCCCTCCTGCCCCTGGAATGTTGTCTTCATCTGTAAGCACAATTCCACAGCTCCATTCCACAAGCCTTCCCTCCTCTGGGGGCTCCTCCTCATCATCTCTGTGGTTACTCAGGCAAGCCAACAATTTACTCGTGTGAGTAAAGGTTTGCCCAGCTGGCAGCCCAAAAGGCAGCGTCATCCAGACTGCTGGCAGAGCAAGGGTGGGAAAGGAAAAGCCCAACAATTCGGATTTTGCACAGCTCCACTGGCCTGCAGCTGAGTTTGTGCTGTATTTTGTACACTTACTGGTCCATTCTGAAAGGTATGTGTGGGGATGGATGTAGATTTGCTCTCTAAATTAGGGGTTGAGAGTCTTTGCTTGTGTCCTTCAGCCTCAGAGAGGGAATTCTCCGTGTGGCCTGAAGAGCAGTCGCTGCACCCCAAAAATGTCTCACACAGGTCACGATCCCGCAGTGAAAAGCATATGGGGGGCTGGCGGCGGGGCG